CAAGTACAGACCAACTGAAATGTTTTTTCTTGACCAAAAAAGAATAGAGGATAAGGAATTGCTGGTTACAGTGTGTGTATTTCTCTATTTTATTTGTTTGTTTATGTGTGTGTTTGTGTATATATATGCATATATATTCTCTATAATATACACAATTCTCTTCATAAAAATGAAGAGAATTCATTTCTAGCAGACCAGCCTTTATAAGAAATACACACACACATTGTGTATATGCAATACACACACACACACACACACACACACACATAATAAAAATATTATACACACAGAATATACATATACACACAGAAAATGGAGATTTTCTTCATATTAGCCCACCAGTGCTGAGTCCTACCCAGAAGTATCTTCTTTACCAGTTTCTAGGATCTCTTTTTCAGAGAGAGACTGGGCATCTTCGAGCACCAATGTGCCTCGTGTTTCTACTTACATCATTGGGATCATGTTCCATGCACTCTCCTCCTTTGACAATTTTAATAAAAAAAAAAATCTATCCTGAACAAAACCCCTGTATCAGCAATTATAATTTTCCTTCCTATAGACTAAGGAGGCAGCCCTGAAATACTCCAGTCAACCCCTTAGAAAAATAAATAAGGAAATACCAATAGCAAACCCTCAGAACTGTAGAAGCCACAATCCAGAATTGTTATGTGGTCTGAAATGCCCAGTTTCCAGGAAACAAAAAAATGTGAAACATGCAGAGAAACATGAATGTTTGACCCATACACAGAAAAAAAAAAATCAGGTAAAAGCAGCAGAATGAGTAGATGTTAGATTTAGTACACGGTAGCTTCAAAGTAGCCATTATAAAGATGTTCAAAGAACCAAAGGGTGCCATGATTAAAGACTAAAAGAAAGATATGATTTTTCATCAAATGAAAAATAGCAGAAAAGAGGTAGAAATTATTATTTAAAAAAATAAAAGGGACATTCTGGAATTAAAAATTGTAGTAACTAAAATTTATGGAAGTCACTACTGAGACTCAAAAGTATGTTCGAATTGCCAGGAGAAAGAATTTGCGCACCTGAAGATATAGATCAATAGGTGTTATACAACCTGAAAAATAGACAGAGAAATGAACAAAATTAATAAACGGAGCTTTCAAATAAATGCAGAACAATCTTATACACAACACTACACTCATCTTGGGCATGTATCTTTTATAAACAAGGTAAAAATGAAAACATTCCCAGATACGTAAAAATGAAGACAATTCATTTCTAGCAGACCAGCCTTATAAGAAACACTGAAGGAAGTTGTTCAAACCAAAGTAGCAGAAAACAATGAGAAACACATTGTCTCATATGGAAGTTAAACACTGCCCTTTTTTCCAGTTTTTTCTTTACCCAAGGGTAAAAGACAGAGAGAGGTAAAGTGGGAAATCACCCCCCCAGTTGGGGAAGGACACAACTCAATCCCTTCTCCATTCTCCTCCTGGGATTTTGGGCATGCATGCACACCAGCCCAGTGCGAGTTTCAAGCTGCAAGGTCTGGGACTAGAACTGTGGTCAGCCCTGTTAGAGTCCAGCACCTTCACCACCACGTCACCTACTGGTCCCAGCAATGCACTTCACAATAATCAATGAATAAAAGAATAAATATCAAGGGAAACTAGAAAATACTTTGAGATAAGTGAAACAAAAATGCAACCGGCCAGAAGTTATGGTATGCAAGGAAAGCAGTCAGAAGGAAATTGTTTTAAATAAACTTTTTTAATTTAACTTTTATTTATTATCCAGAGAGAGAGAGAGAAAAGGAAAGTCAGAAAGCAAGCTTCCAGGTCCAGGACTCAAACCACGGTCAGCCACATGGGATTCCAGCACCCTTAACAACCATGACATCTGCTGGCCTCTAGAAGGAAATTTGTAACTGTAAACTCTTATCTTCAAAAAGATCTCAAAACAATAGTCTAATTTTTCACCATAAGATAGTAGGAAAAGAAAATTAATCCCAAAGTTAGAAGGAGTAAAACATTAAATATAAGAGTAAAAACAAATGCAATACATAATAGAAAAATCGTGGATAAGATTAATACAAGAAAATGGGGTCAGGTGACGGTGTAGTGGTTATGTCACTCTACTCTCACATGGCCAATCACAGTTCAAGTTCTAGACATGGGGGCTAGAAAATTATGCCATGTGTGTGCACACATGCACCCGTGATCCCAGGAGAAGGTGGGATTATGGCATGGCCATCCCCCTTGGGGGGTGATTTTTCACTTTCCCTCTCATAGTCTATGTCTCTCTGGTGAGTACACACACCCTATGACAAAAGCCTCTTAAAAAGAAAAGATTAATACATGAAAATGTTCTTGAAAATATCAACTAATTTGACACATCCTTATGTAAATAACTGAGTAGGGGGATTCAAGTTACTGAGATTAGAGAAATAAAAAAAAAAGGTCATCCCTGCCAACCTTATAGAAATAAACAAGGATTATAAGACACTACTGTATAAAACTGTATAGCAGCAAATTAGATAAACTAGATGAAATGGACTAAATTCTAGAAAGACACTAACTTCTGCAACTCTATAAAGAAACAGAAAATCTGAATAGAGTTTATAAAACATACAAGACATTGAATAGTCAAAAAATGTCCACAAGAAAAAGACCTGATGCAAATACTTTCTCCGGTAAATTTTATTAAAACATTTCTAAAAGATCTACTAGCAATAATTCATTAATTCTTCTAAAATGTAGGAGAAAAGGAAATGTTTTTGACTATTTTTGAGGTCAGTGTTACACTGATCTCAATATCAGTCAAAAATTCCATGAAAAAAGAAAACTACAGACCAATATCTGTTATAAATAAACATAATAGATATAAAAATCAGCAATAAAATATTAGCAAACCAAATCCAGCAACATATAAAAAGGATTATATACTATACTTAAGTGCAATATATGTTTGGAATGCAAGGTTGGTTTAACATCCACAAATCAAGTAATAAAATACACCATAGCGAGGTAATAAAGTATATACATCATATAATTACTTCCATAGAAGAAGAAAAGAATTTGACAAAAAGTCTAACAGCCTCCCATAAATTAGAATAGAGTTTGTACTTTATGAAGTTATATAGAACTTTATAGAAAACTTCATTTAGGGCCAGAAAGTGGTACAGTGGTAAAATGCGGTGATCTCTGAAGCTATTCACATGGAAGTTTGCTGTTTCATGCTTGGAGACTTCTCCAGGTTTTTTGTTCACTTATTTTTGTTTAGAATTTTGTCATAGGGTGTGTGAGCTTGCTGGAGATAGAACCAACAGAAGGAAAGAGAAGTCACCACTACCACCCACCTCCCGCCCCATAAAGGGTAGCCATACCTCAATGTGTTTACATCCAGTCTCCTCTTAGAAATTTGGGCATGTAAGCACATGTGCCTGGCATGATTTTCTAGCTGCCAGGTCCAGGACTCAAAACATACATAGAGTTGGCCATGTGGGAGTCCAGTGCCTTAGCCACTATGCCACCTGCTGGCCCCATCAAAACCCTTCTTCTTAATCAAACTAATTTTGAACTTCCCTTATCTTTAGTTATATCGCTAGCTTGGAAAAAGTATCTGGCCTAGGTTTGCCCAAATGACCTTGAACAGAACATTTCCCCTTTCTGAGTTTTAATACCCTCATGTTCTAGAATTCATCATTTAGACTGGATGATCTTTAGGGTTTCTTCTGGCTCTAATGTTCCGTGATTCCATTAATCAACTTTCTGACCACTGGAGTAGACAAACTCATAATTATCCAACGAAACATTGATAGAGTCTGTGTAAACAGATGTATTATTATTCCTAATAGCTGAAAGATAGAAAATAACTGATAGCATCAGAAAGACCAAGTCTGTCTATCTCTCTCTCTCTCTCTCTCTCTCTCTCTCTCTTTCATACACACACACACCCCTGGTAAATCAAAAACAAGGACCCAAATCAGCAAACTCTAACTCGAGAGTCAGGATTTGTCTTACTAGACACTACAGAGCTTTCTGTCTTCAAGACTTTCTTTCCCATCAGTCATTTATTAAAACTTTAACAACTATTTTTCAAGACAGTACAATGTTCAAAGTTACTGTAGCAGAAAGAACAAAGTTGCTGTTCTATTACATTCTGAGGCACGAAGTGCAATAACATACAGAAGACCCAGAGAAATATGCCCCAAGTCAAACATTAATAAGTGTTATGAAGGAAAAGGAAATAAGCATCCAGGAAGGGGAGACAGTGAGCATGGGGAACTAGGGAGGATGCTACTGTATATAATTAGAAATGGAATATATTTTTATACATGTGTGTATATATATTATATAATATATAATATATAATATATAATATATAATATAATATATGATATATAATATATATGTTATTGTATAATATATAATATATATTATATATATATAATAATGTATATACATACATATAAAAATTATATATTTATTTCTTTCTTGGGACCAGCAGATGGCACAATGGTTACATTGCTGGACTTGCACATAGTTGACCCAGAGTTCAAGTCCCAGTCCTGACAGCTTAAAACTCAAGTCAGGTGCATATGTGGGCAGGCCCACCCAAAGTCCTGAGAGGGGAATGGAAGATAAAGGACTGCAGCATTGCCTTCTTCTCTGGGGACTGATTTCTCACTTCCTGTCTCTCCCTCTTTGTCTCTCTCTCTCTGGTCAGTGTATGTACTTTATACCAAAAATCTCTCTAAACAATTGATGTATTATTTTAAATTTGTGATGGTTCACATGTGCTTGTGAGAGCAAGAGACAGAAAGCTCAAGCTGCCAGATCCAGGACCCAAACCACGGTCGGCCATGTGGGAGTCTAGTATGTCAACCACCATGCCACCTGCTGGCCCTATTTTTTTTATATTGGTGGAATACAACCCATTTAATGTGTGTTGGGGAAATATACAAAACTGTCATTTTCCAACAGTGGAAGGAGGAGATAGACTCACCCAGGCTGAAGCGCAGCATGGGTGAGGTCCTGTGTCCCGGTACATGCAAAGGGTTGTAGACCATAGTTCCAGTTCAGAACAGATCCTCAGACCCACAAGAAGACCTTCTTTCCTATCGTGCATGTAATTTCTCAAGCCTGGAAGAGTACATTAAAGATAAGGAATATCCACGGAAGCTAAGGCTATGTCTGGACAGAGCTTTCCAGAGACAAATAAATTGTATATAAAAGAGGCGGTTGTCATAAGAACAGTAGATGTGGGATTCTTGGAATACACCGAGGTTTACATTACCACCACGGCTCAAGGTATCATCTGTCATCTTCCGGGGGGAAGGCAGGTGTCAAGGGGGTGACAGATCGTGGGCCTAGTGAAAGCCCTCCAGCGGGCCAACATCATTACCTTCAGCCCATCAGTCATCAGGCACTGTTCTGAAGCAGGCACCTTGGAGCCTCCGCGACCACTCATTCAGAGTCTCTTCCCTTGTTCATCCCAGAGCGACTCATGTTGAAGACTTCATACTCTGAAAACAGAAGTTGGAAAAGCCGCCTTGTAGAGCAACAGAAACTCAAGAGTTTAAATAATAAAGAGGAAAATGAAGGAAAGTAAAGATATTTTTCTTTTCTGAGAATTTTTTGCTATAGGGTACATGCACTTGCTAGAGAGACAGAGAGGAGAGAGACATCCCCCCCCAGGAGGATGTCCATGTCACAATCCCTTCTCCTCCATTCTCCTCTTGGGATCTTGGGCGCACACACACACACACCCCTGGTGTGAGTTTCAATCTAGGACTCAAACCACTGTCGGCCATGTGGAGGTCCAGCACCTTAACCACTATGCCACCTGCTGGCCCCTCCTCTCCATAATAGACATTCAACATGTATTTATCAAGAATCTGCTAAACTGACCAGCACCTACTGTATTCTAAATCGTCATCTAGCTATTTTCCTTTAATATTGTAGCTCCTCTTAAAGTTGTAGTTAACAGGGCTCTTTACCTTTTAGAACAGAGATGGCAACTGCATTCTAGTGGAAAGATGATCGATTAATCATGCCTACCCGAGGACCAGGTGGAAGAGCACTGGGATTCATTCTACTCACTGGAAACTAGTGCCATGATTGATTAGCAATTTCTGCCACAGCCTCAGGAGATAAAAACTTCCAAACTAGGGCTGTGATTTAGACCAGGGTGAGAGGAACAGCAGCCACAGCAACAGGAATCGCAGAGACTCAGGTAATTTCTAAAGCTCTCAGGCACACGGAAGTGATCACGTCATTTCGAATCTCAAATCTGGTTAAAGCCCAGCTTAAGCATGGTGCCTCGGAGTTGTGAAAATAGTAATTCATGGGGCTCTTGGGTCAGACAGCCTTGAGTTCTCACTTCATTTCTGCAACTTATCTTCAGACAACTTATCTACCCCCGTGCTATCAATGTATTCATGTGCTACTACTAATAATGAAAAGAGCCACATAGTACTCATGTGAGGACTCAATTAAATCATGTGTGTCAGTGATGTGCACACATGGTGCCTTGTAAAGGGTGGGAGGCTCAATGATACAATCGCTAGTGTTACATGCAAGCATAAGTTAAGTCCAAATAACTCATTCTCTTTCCTGTGCTTTTAAAACACTGTGTATAACTCTACTGTGGAAATATAGCACTGTATTATAGTTTTATTTCTTTCTTTTACCATTTGTCTTTGTTTTATTGTGTGCTTGAGAACAGTGACCAGGTCTTATTCATTATTGATGTCTAGGATATAACTCAGTGCCTAGGACAGAGTTGTCAGCAAACCATGTTGGCTAAATGAAAAATGGAAGCAAATGACAACAGAAATATATAAAAAGCTAACTATTCCAGTGTATGTTACTCATTTGCTAGAAAGTTTAATTAAAAAAAAAACATAGCTCACATATCTAAAGCATTCTTTTTTTCTTTTTTCTGTAGAGAGATTTTTACTATAGGGCACATGTGCTCACTGGAGAGACAGAAAGACAGCGAGAAATCACTCCCCAGGGGGATATGGCCATGCTGCAGTTCCTTCTCCTCCATTTTCTGATTGGGATATTGGGTATGCATGCACACATGGCCTGTGTGAGTTTTAAGTTGCCAGGTCCAGGACTCGAACCACAGTTGACTATGTGGCAATCTAGCAAAGTAACCATCATGCCATCTGCTGGTCCCAATCTAAAGCATTATTTATTGATTTTTTTTTTCTTTGTAAGTATTCTAGCTTTGGCTAGGCAATAGAATCATATCACAGAAGAGAAAACTGAGGTGGAGAAAGACAAATATTTGGGGAAACCTTATTCCTATATCCCATTATTTTGTCACATTCAATTTTTTTAGAGACATTTTTGGTATAGGGCATGTGTGCACACCAGGGACAGAGAAAGAAACAGAAAGTGAGAAATCATCCCTCAGGGGTGATGGCCACGCTATAATCCCCTCTCCTTCACTCTCCTCAAACTGCAGTTGGTCATGTGGCATCTAATGCTTTAACCACCATGCCACCTGCTGGCCACCATGATTGGTTTTTTAAAATACCTCCTTCAGATTCTGAAAACTGGGTTGTGGGAAGTGACACATAATACTAAGAAGCTTCATTTCATAGATGTTTGTGTATATGATTAAAATCATAAGGTCCCCCCCCCTCTTTTTTTGGAGAGGTTTTTGCTATAGGTCGCGTGCACACGCCAGAAACACAGAGACAGAGAGACAGTGAGAAATCACCCCCCAGGGGGGATGGCCATGCCACTATCCCCTCTCCTCTGTTCTCCTCTTGGGATCTTGGGCATGCATGCACACGCGCCTGGCATGAGTTTAAGCCACCAGGTTCGGGACTCGAACTGCAGTTGAGTATATGGGAGTCCAGCGACATAGTCAGTACGGCAACTGCGGGTCCCAAAATCATAAGGTCCCCTTTAAGGAAGTTGGAAAGGTATGGAAAGTTCTCTGCACCTTCTGGTGACCCAGGATGGGTTGCAGAAATCTTTGTGCATGTTGCATTGTCTCTTTATATTTGTGACTGAAAAAAAAAAATAATAATGCTTGCTTTTTTTAATCTGCCTTCTGCTTTCTTGGAGGTTTTTTGCTTTAGGGCACATGCACTCACCAGGGAGAAAGCAATAGAAACAGTGAGAGAAAAGGCAAGAAACCACCCCCCTACAAGGGATGGCTACTCACAATCCCTTCTCCTCCATTCTCCTCTCAGGATTTTGGGCATCCATGCACACGTGTCTGGCATGAGTTTCAAGACAGTGGGTCCAGAACTAGCACGACACTCAGTCACGTGGAAATCCAGTGAAATGACGGCTACACCATCTGCTGGCCCTCTGCTTTCTGTTGATAGTGTAATTTTGAACCCTTCATATATCCCTCTGGCTTGGTCAAGTTCTGATGGACAAGAGGCAGCTAAAGGCAGCAGGCCTCCATGGATGAATCAGGGTTTTCCTTTATTTCTTAAAGGTGTGGTTGGATTGTCATTTAGTGCCACTGAATCCAGAGTGTCACAGGGCATTTCAAGGATGAGAAGACATTTTACAGTAACTAGGTTTATAAAGAGAATTATCTGCAAAAGATACGGTGAATGGAAAATTATGTCAGGCGGTTATAGAAACACTGAACGGATAACATAAAAATGAGCTTAGGACTTGGGAATCAATATGCTCCCATAACCCTCCATCCAAGTCATGTGAGACTACCCCAGAAAACAAGCAAAACTAAACCTGAGTTTACACTAAACCATTTCATAGCCCTATAGCTTACGAGTGAAGCAATTGCTGAGGAAGAGTCAGCAAGAAACGAAGAGGCAAATGTGCACTTCAAAACGAAGGGGGAAGAGGAAGCTTTTAAACAGACTGAATTCCAACACTCGATTGATTTTGTCATGTGGGAGAAAGGGAGATGAAAATAGAATGCAAAAACGAGATATTTAGACGTTTTTGTGGTTTTTTTTTAATTGAGAAGTGAAGCCTGAGACAAGGGCCCCTGACTTACCTATGATGATCTCTCCCCAACTTTTCAGGAAGCCGGGATCATGGATTCACCCCCATTTGACTTGTTCAGACTAATCTGAGTTGTAAACCCCATCTCCCCACCCTGCCTTGGCTTCAGTATCCCATAGTAGTACCCTCCCTGCTTGTGCTACTACTGAGAGGCTGGGCTAGAGGCAGATCATTTAATGAGCCAAGTAGAATTTCTAAATATATAGACTTTTTAAAAAAAAAAATTTAAAAAATACCCTCTGTGATAAATTCAAACTGTAGACTTGATACAGCTGAAGAGAGAATTAATGAGTGGTTAGATACGAGACTATAACTTCAAATGAAAAACATCCTCCTTATGGATTTACCAAACATCAGACCTATTTGCCATGTCAATTCTTTCACTTAATAAAAATGTGACCTTGGGCATATAATTCATGTGTTTGGTTTTTTGTTATTGTTTGTTTGTTTTACATTTTTGTCATACGGCACATGTGCTCACTGGAGAGAGACAAAGTGAGATGAAGAGAGGGAAAGTCAGAAATCACCCCCCACACACACCCCCAGGGGAGATGGCCACACCACAATCCCTTCTCCTCCATTCTCCTCTTGAGATGTTTTTGGGCATGAACTCAGCATGTCTTTCAAGCCACCAGGTCCAGGACTAGAACCACAGAGTTAGCTATGTGGAATCCTGAACCTTATCCACCATGCCACATGCTGGCCCGCAAGTGGGTTTTTTACGTTTTTCCTCTAAAATTGGAATAATGGGTAACTTAAATCTGACTGAGTCATTGTGATAAATAAGATGATGGTTATGGACATTAAAGAACATACATATAAAACATCATTATTAATCTATGTCGTTAATAAATATTTCATATTACATTTGATTTAGTTCCTTACTCTATTGATCTTCTCTACAAATACTGTATTTTTAATTCTTTAGTCCTTAGGATTAATATCTAGGGACTATGTCTTTAATTTTAGAAGAAAACCATATGTGCTATATTTTGGTTTTAGAAATATCATGTCTCATTCCAATATACATTTTCATTCCTTAAAAATGGTTGTCAAGATTTCTATTCTCAAAGCAGTTCGTGGCTTTTGAAATACACAAGTTTATTACATTAGACGGCAATGTCAACTTGGCTTTACAGAGAGAAGAAAACATGTAGAAGTGGGTAAAAAAAAATTAAATAAGCAATTCTTTTGTGTGTGTGTGAGTGTGTGTGTGTGTTTGTGTTGGATAAAATCGGTATTAACTATATTTTCTTCGGAAGATATAGCCAGATAGCCAATGCCATTTATCAATTATTCATATTTTCCTACTGTTCAAATATTACTGTCATTATATAATAAATCCTCATTTATCCTCTGATATGGTTCTGGATTTTTCTAATTACTTTCACTAATCTATATATTTACAATGTTTACATGCCAATACAATGTTGAACTGATGTGACATATTTGGGTGCTCTAACGTTGGATATGTAGGTATTTCTTTTTCTTTTTCTTTCTTTTTTTTTTGGAGAGT